GGACTGGCCTACCCCGAATATAACACAGGCCTGTGAGAACAGGCCAAGGGGCTGGTCTCACAGGCCGACCCGAGGTCCGCTACACTATTCTTGGCCTTTTCCTGGATTGAGCTGCTAAGTGTCGTCATTTCTGTTGATGTCAAGTAGGTTATAAGCTGGTAGGCGGTTGTAAGCATCCTGTGGTACCTTCCTTCTCTCTCCCTGTAGTCGATGGGTCGCATATGTTAGGGCAAAGGACATCAGCTTCATCCCCAAATGGCTTGCTAACTCTCGAAACATCCCCCCTCGCTCTCAATCCTATTGGGCCTTTCTTCTTACGGACACAAATTCCGAAGAGGCTATAGCAGATTCCTTCCCTTTCTTGTACCCCACCGGGCCCACCCTTTATACTGAAGGCTGATCTTGATTCTTGTGTAATACCCCTATTTCTAGTCTACGATCTAAGTCCGCTGACCTCAGGGGTTGAAGGACCACGTGCAGGGCCTGGTACATCCAAAGCCTGGTTCCTTGCTTATCCTACCTAATCAGCTGTTACAGCTGTGCTCCTTACCTTTCACCCCGGAGAGTGTATAGATATGGAAGGAAACGACGAGAGGACTGGTACTCTCCCCAGCGTATCATAATCTGGGAGATGCACTATTCTGTTGCCCTACGCCGGCCTACGCTGTTATGAGGATGGAAGGAAACGTCTGTTCGTACTGAATCCAGGTTGCAGATCGGTAGTGCACTGAACCGGACGTCCTTCGAGAATGCGGAAGGCTAGGGTTTCTCTGCTATCGCACCGTGGAATAGTAAAGGAAGTCTTGATAGGGGAATGAATATGTTGTTCCCAAGCACAAGTGCATTAGGAAGTGGCGATCTATTTGCCCTACTTCTGCCGAGCCTTCCCTCCTTGCCTGCGAACCGGTGAGAGCCTAAATTTTCGGAGGCCTAAATTTTCAGACAGCTTGTCATGCCATTTTTTTGTAACAAAACCCAAGGGTCATTTTAACCAGACTTGCCACCCATCCAAACAGTGGAGACCACATTAATTGATTTTTTGGAACCCGTTAACCAAAGAGCTGAAAGTGGGGGTCCCCCATTAAACCACCAGTACTTCCTAAAGTCGTGCCGGTTAATGCGCCACAATCTTAGGAAACGTACAGTCCACTACAGGAGCACCCAGATTCATCCAACTAGAAACGTTTCTACTTTTTTTTTTCCCGCGGCGGATAGCTGGGCCAAGTACTGGTGGCTTAACCACTTGTGAACCCGATTACTGCCGATCTGAACATTCTCATACAACGCCTTCCTGGACATCTGCACTTCAACCTGTTTAGAGCTAAGGATCTGGTTCCTTTTCTTTTTTTTTTTTTCTTTTTTTTTTTTTTTTTGGTTCCCCCTTTTAAAGCCCAGGGTGCTGTAGAGGCCAAGGACCAGACCCGCGGTGATTGCTGGTAGCGGCAGCAAATGGTTATCCTGACAGGATAGCCCACCTATGAAGGAGATGGTCCTTTTTTTCTTCTTCTTCCTTCTTTTTTTTCCTTTTTTCTCCTCTTTTTTTTTCTTGATCAGTTGGTTCCTTTTTTTTTTTTTTTTTTTTTTTTTCGAGAAATAACAGGTCCTTATGGCCCTGATCAGTTGGTTCCTAACATTCAAAGAATCAAGAAGTCACCAAAATCATCTGGAGATTTTCCTGCGTGCAAACTTCCACATTCCTCCATCCGAGGTGTGCTCTGTTGGTCGATACATTTCTTTCAGCTACAAGGGTTTGATGGGGTATGCGGGGGTAGGGGGGGGTATGGGGGGTTATGGAGGGGTATTGGGAGGGGGGGTATGGGGGGGTACGGGTGCCTAAGAGAGGGAAAGGTTCTAGGCTATCAAACAGTAAGGTAATTCTGGGATGGAAGAGTTTTTCTCAATCATTGAGGGCTTTGTTTAAGTTTGAAACCATACTTGCGGCGCACCGGCACTGTGCGCTGCACAGGGCGCTGTGTGCGGACTCGAGGTGCCGTGCATATGGGTGCACAGTGCGCGCTGCGCGGTGTGCTGCGCGTGTGTGCGCAATGTATATTTTCATGTTCTAGCGGTAGATTCATTCGATTTTGCTCATCCTATCAATGGAAGTATCAGGAGGCCAGCCGTGACGTTGATGACTTACTTGCTTCATGTGCATCCGCCCGCGGCTTGTCCCCAGGCTACCGCTCTGTTGCACTTTCCTTCCATCGTCCTCTCTCTCTCTCTCTCTCTCTCTCTCTCTCTCTCTCTCTCTCTCTCTCTCTCTCTCTCTCTCCCCCCCCCCCCCCCCCCGCCTGACTTCTTCCGTTGGTTCCCACCATCCCACCTTCGGCTTTTCTCCCGCTGCAGCGGGCCTCCATCTATAGGCCAGGGCCTATTTGGCTATTTGCCAGTTCGGCCTGTGGGACCAGGCCGTGGCCTGACCCCACAGGCCGTGTGCTGTTTCAGTTAATGGTTCCCAAGAAAAAGGTAAAAAAAAGGACTTGTTTTCTATCTTGGTTCCAATTATTTGAAAGCCATTCTTGAATATATCCAATATAATTGAAAGCTCTTTTTGGTAAAAATAACGAAAGGTCTCTTCGTACATAATTGGGAGAATCTATCTTAGCAATATTCCAAGAAAAAGTAAAATCGTTTTTTTTTTTTTTTTTCTGGGTAATTGAATCATTAATACTTTTGCTTGTTTTCCTGCCCGGTACCACTATCGGTATCAGGCCAGTCCAGTCCAGTCCAGTCAGTCCGCTGGGGGTATACCCCAGTTGTTGTCTGTTTTTCAGATCATTCTTCATTCTGCACTTTTCAAGTACGTGCGTGTTGAGTCCACGTTGGAGCTGCGCTGTCCCTTCCAGCTCCATCTCTACCTCCTCCTTCGTCAACCCTTCTTCTCCATCCTGACGGACCGCCATCCCGGCGGGTCTGGCACACTGGTATCAGAGCGGGAACGGTCCCCGCTCGTACCCGCCCACCCTTCCGTAACAGGGAGAAATCGGTGTAATCCCGACAGCGGGATTTTCAGCGTTTTGCAGGGCAGGAACAACGAAAAAATGGTAGCGTGCAGAGGCGGACACGTGGCGAAAAAGGGAGCTGCCGACGCGTGCGCGCAAGCGTCCATGCTGCCCTGCCCCGCCCCGCTCCCGGATTATTATTATCAAGATCTGGGATGCTGCAACTGCCAGGGTTTGAACCTGGGCAGTTGCTGCTCATGCGAGTGCATGGCCAATGCCTTAACACACTGGCCAAAGCCACAATATGAGTTCATACTGTGGCTTGCTGTTGTTGAAGAGGTGGCACAACAACCATTTGCCCCCCCCCCCTGTCGGTAAGCGGCGAGCAGCGTGCGGGAAGGCAACTATTCCCCCCCCCCCCCCTCCCCAGCGCCGGGTGGTGGGTGTTGCCGTGTTTCATACTTCAACGAGTATGGGCAGAACCAAAGATCAACCAATGTAGGATGAGCATATATGCAGCGGAAGTCTGATAAACTGACTGACTCACATAGACTGACTCGCATAGACTGACTCACATAGATATCACTCCACACACATACAATCGTGAGATGGTGGGGTCTGAGCTATACATGGACGATGCTCAGCCCCGTACACACATGCACAGATGAAGGAGGGAGGAGAGACGAAGGAGGTGGGAGAAGTAGGTAGCACCAAATGTCACCGATATGGTAATCGAAAATGTCATCGAACAAGATCAAAATGTCGAGGACAATAAGTCACCAATGTCGGACATACAGAGTCCTAATGTAACCGGCGTCAAATCTATGATGCAGCCAAGTATCATCCCCAACAATCTCCAAGTCTCGAACCCGGTAAGTACCATAGCCTCTTACCACCGAAGTCCAACTCTGATCTCTGTCCAACTAGTATAAGTCTCTTGTCTGAAGAAGAAGAAGAAGAAGAAGAAGAAGAAGAAGATGAAGTCTGAAGAGAAGAAGAAGAAGAAGAAGGGAGCCGAGGAGGAGAGAGAGAGAGAGGGGACTGGCGAAAGGAGGGAGGAGAGAAACCTCCGACTCCCGATACCTCGGGCGGTTATGGCCGCCGATACGCCCAGTCGCCGCTGCTGCTGCTCCGCTCGCTGCTGCTGCGCTAATGCTGCTGCGGCCGCTGCTCCTCGTGCTCCTGCGCTAAGTATAGCGCCAACGCTGTTCGCGTCGTACCATACCGCACCGTTAGAGTGCCGGTGGGTCGATGGCCTGAATGAGGCCGGACCGGTACTTTTGTACCGGTGGGGCAGAGGCCGGCCTCAATGCTGCGAGGCCTGGCCGTGCCCTAAACCGTCAAGATGGACGATTCAGCCCCAACAGGCAAGCGGCAGCTTCAAGAGCGCCGCCAGGCCCAAACGGTAATGTCGTTTGGGCCTGCCCGTTGGGTCTGGTCCAAGGTGAGGCCTTTACGACCTGTAGTACCCCCAAGGTCAGGCCTTTAGGCCCTACTGTGTCCCTCTAACCCTAAGTCGGGTCCGGTAGGACCTGTGTGGCATCGAAGATGTAACACACTCCCCCTCTTAAAAGACCGAGCTACCTGCGAGGGCAAAGTTGTCTGTCCGATACCGAGGTGGGTCGGGCGGGACGAGCTGCTTCCTTAGCAAGGTGTCGCTTCTCATAGTCGGCGAAGATAAGGGGTGCAAAAGTCTGCAAATCTGTACTGGAGATCCACCGAGTGTCATCAGGCGCACATTGCTTGAATGTGACTTTGAACTGCATTGGCTTGTAGTCATACTTGCGATGCGTGATGACTCGGTCGACTTCCTGATGTCCGTCCATAGAAGGCGGATCCTGTGATCGACGGCCGGGAAACTCGTCGGCGGAAGGTGGCGTGTAGATGGCCAGCTTCGACGCGCGGAAGACCCGGTGCACTAGAAGGTGCGGAGGAATGTTGACCACAAAGGAAGGACCTGCGGGGTCGTCTCCAACGGCAGAAGTGACTTCCCATGGTCCGAACCATTTCGGAAGTAGTTTGCGTGAAACGTCCTGCTCGAGCGCAAATTCCTCGGAGAGGACCCCAACAAGGTCTCCCTCGCGGAAAGGACATGGAAGTCGACGTCGGTTAGCCTGCTGCTGCATGCGCATCTTAGCCTTGTGCATATTCGCGCGGGCTTTGATCAGCAAGTCCCGGTACTTCCGAACGGAAGCGGGAGAGCAAGGGACGTCTAGGTCGGCAGCCTGTGGCAAAAGGAGATCAGCGAAGATCCATGCTTTCTCTCCACCATGATGTAGCTCGAATGGTGTGACGCAGATTGTTGGGTGCACCGAAGTGTTATAAGCGAACTCGATGTCAGGAAGTCGGTCAACCCAATCTTTCTGGTCGGGACGGATGAGCGTACGCAACATCATCTGAGCGGTCT